GGCATTTGAATAGAGACATAAATGATATGAAAAAAGGTGTCACAAAATAATTCAGCTAAGAAATGAGAGCAGCACATAAGTACGTCATAGGAAAATAAAAGCCTCAGTAAATTATACATATGTAAATCAAATACATATATATAATATCTATTTCTGTAGGCACTATATCATCAAAAGTCTCTTGGACAAAATTTACAGTGGTATATTATGAGAATAATAGAGGTCTAAATTAAAAAATGTAGTGTGAATCTAATCATTAGAATAATATAGAGGTCAACAGGAGAGGATTGACATTTTGCAGATTAGAAGAGTGATCAGCAGATATTCTCAAATTGTTGGAATGAGAGGACCAATAGAACACTTGTTAGTGGGAGATGAAAATGCAAAATCCACAAATGATTTGCCAGAAAGCAAGACAAGCAGGCCGGGTGCAGTGGCTCACGCCTGTAACCCCAGCACTTTGGGAGGCCGAGGCAGGAGGATCACCTGGGGTCAGGAGTTCAAGACCAGCCTGGCCAACATGGTAAAACCCCAGTCTCTACCAAAAATACAAAAATTAGCCAGGCATGGTGGCATGGGCCTGTAATCCCAGCTGCTTGGGAGGGTGAGGCAGGAGAATTGCTTGAATCTGTGAGGCAGAGGTTGCAGTGAGCTGAGTTCATGCCACTGCACTCCACTCTGGGTGACAGAGCAAGACTCCGTCTCAAAAAAAAAAAAAAAAAAGTAAGCGAAGAATGCAATGTTGTAATTGAGATTGCTTAATGGGAGTCCATTGGTAATTAATCTGTGTATTGGCACATTTTTAATGTGCCATTAACTTTAAATAATGGCACATTTTGTCAGGGTGGGCAAAATGATTTCCTTCTGATCCAGAAAGACACATCTCTCTGTTGAGTAATTGACTCTACTATGGTTATACATCGTTTTAATAAATACTAGTCTAGACTGTGGGAATATTACGGTGATCCAAACAAAGAAAATTATCTCCCTTCATAGAGTTGTATTATAAAAGATACATTAACCTATTGTTTGTTATAAAGTACAAAGTTCTAGCTAACAGATGGCAAGTAAATATATGCTCCAATTTGTATCAGCAATAGAACTGTGAAGTCTTACCAAATTTTAAACAGAACATGTGTGTAATCATATTTTTTAATTAATGGTTTTACTAGAAAGTGCCATGATAGGTTTTATTTTATAAAACAAGGAAATGACAAGGCTCAGTGTTTCTATCAATATCCAGGTTTATTTAGCATGTCCTAGGCACCTATTTACTCGCAAAAAGAAAGTACGATAATTCTGGTCCCAACTATTACTTCATATTTTAAATATTTTAGGACTATGAATTTAGTAGCACACAGTAAACTCTCAGTAAAATTATCATTATTATTATTATTTTAAGGACACATCTCATTTTAAGCAAAGTAAGCTTATGCACTCATTTTGGGGGTATATATTGTACAGATAAATGAATGAAATCATTTCAAAAGCAAGAAAAATGTCATTCCTTTCTGAAGTACATCTCCCTCTCTCCCTGCTTATTCTGTAGTACAGTATCTAGCACAGAGTGGCTTAATATGCAATATCAATACTAACTGTATAATATTAATACTAATTATATACTATGCATAAATTATTGATGACTCTTTTATAGAATGACAACATGCCATTGTAAGTTTTGAAAATTTTATAAATTCTATTAATATAACACAATATTTCTATTTCAATTTTCAACAACTTTATCTATACAACTATGCATATTTTCAGTGCCCACTATATACCTGTTGACCCTCAGGGATTTATGTTTAATTTGGTAACTTTTACTACTTCCAACAAAGATTAACTATGGCTGCTCACCAAAGAGGAGATTTGTGGGGTTTTTTGTTTGTTTTAGTTATCTAATTTTCAAAGAATTCAACGAACATGATTTTTTTTCTTTTTGTCATCATGAATTGAACTTTATGCCTATGAATATTTCATTTTTTCAGTCATGTAGATCATCAGTCATATTGATGCTCAAAGCATCTAGCAATATAGTAACTCTTTTACAATATTTTAGTAACATACTGGATACCCAGATAATAACTTGATAAATTTTAAGATTTAAGAAACATTACATAGTCTTTTTCAATCTGCTTGCATTCGCATGTATTTCAATATGTGCATTGTTTACTGTGCATATGCATAATACCACAAATTGGTATCAACAGTTATGTATGGGATAGTTTGCATGCAATCTCAAAATGACTTAAATAAAATTGTAAAATGGAATTTGGAAGCATAATGAATACACTTGCCAAGAGAAAAAAAAAAAAAAGAAAGAAATTGTTTTACTTGTGCTCCTGCAGTGGTTAGCACTTATTTTGTCATAGGTTTCAATAAGTCTCAACTGCTTGAAAATAGCCTTTTCTGACCTTAAAATTGCACCATTACAAATTTCATTGACTATCTGAAATACTTTCTGTCCACATCTCCTCTTGTATGAAACGAGTTTTCCAGGACTCACTTTAAAGACTTAAGTTATCTTCTGGGAACTTAATAATGATATTGTGAGAATGAAATGAAATAAAAGATAATCATCTAGGTACAGAGAAGAGTCTTGTGCAACATTAAAAATTTGCCTGGTTGTCTGGTTTGAATAGGGCTGTCCCTGCATGTTCCATTACTTTTGTTTTGATAGAATGTGACTTCCATATCCTTTCTCATAGTTACAGAGATTCCCATTTATTTCCATTGGTTCCACATAGACTATCCTGATAATACAACTTCAGAAACTGGAGGTAGCTTTCTATGGAACAAGGGTGAATTTTCTAAGAAACAAGGATGTTGAGAGCCTGAAGTTGGATATGTCAAAAGAGAACTCACCTGAGTTCGGAGTTTCTAGTGAAGGTTCATCTTAGGAATTTAAGGATTAAGAACTATATAAGTTTTCATTATTTATGGGCCTCTACTCTTTAAATGTAAACATGTGGCTATGAACACTGAAACACATTAGCTTGTGTGGTACAGACATAAAAATGTTTGATAAAAATAAATGACTTTGGTATGAATTTTCTCAAACATTCTTAGTACATTTGAACAATCACGAGTAATGAGCAACCCTTTTTGGGTTGCTCACAGGTGGAGTGTATTAGGCACATAAAAGTACTTAGCCTCTTCAAAGCTCTGGATAGCTACATATTCTTTTGTAGATTAGATCCAATTTTGACCCAATTTTCCTAATTAGCACTTCTGCTATTAATGCCAGTATCGATAATAATGGCCATACGAATTGTAATTTCTTAATAATGACCATACAAATTGTAATTTCTTTTTATTATTATTATACTTTAAGTTCTAGAGTACATGAGCACAATGTGCAGGTTTGTTACATATGTGCCAAGTTGGTGTGCTGCACCCATTAACTCGTCATTTACATTAGGTATATCTCCTAATGCTATCCCTCCCCCCCTGCCCCTCCCCACAATAGGACCCAGTGTGTGATGTTCCCCTTCCCATGTCCAAGTGATCGCATTGTTCAATTCCCACCTATGAGTGAGAACATGTGGTATTTGGTTTTCTGTTCTGCGATAGTTTGCTGAGAATGATGGTTTCCAGCTGCTTCCATGTCCCTACAAAGGACACGAACTCATCCTTTTTTATGGCTGCATAGTATTCCGTGGTGTATATGTGCCACATTTTCTTAATCCAGTCTGTCACTGATGGACATTTGGGTTGATTCCAAGTCTTTGCTATTGTGAATAGTGCCGCAATAAACATACATGTGCATGTGTCTTTATAGCAGCATGACTTATAATCCTTTGGGTATATCCCCAGTAATGGGATGGCTGGGTCAAATGGTATTTCTAGTTCTAGCTCCTTGAGGAATCGCCACACTGTTTTCCACAATGGTTGAACTAGTTTACAGACCCACCGACAGTGTAAAAGTGTTCCTGTTTCTCCACATCCTCTCCAGCACCTGTTGTTTACAAATTGTAATTTCTTAATCAAATATTTAAAATAAAATTGGCTTTTTTTTTCCTTTTTTGAGATGGAGTCTCCCTCTCTCTTGCAGGCAGATCTTGGTTCACTGCAACCTCCGCATTCTGAGTTCCTGCGATTCTCCTGCCTCAACCTCCTGAGTAGCTGAGATTACAGGCACATGCCACCAGGCCCAGCTAATTTTTAATTTTTTATATTTATAGTAGAGATGGGTTTTCACCATGTTGGCCAGGCTAGTCTTGAACTCCTGACCTCAAGTGATCCGCCTGCCTCGGCCTCCCAAAGTGCTGAGATTACAGGTGTGAGCCACCATGCCTGGCCCAAAATTGGCCATTTTTATATGTCTTCCTTTCAGTAACAAATGGATACATTGAAAACACCCTTGTTTATAAAGCAATTCTAATTGATTCAACATGGTTTAAAAATCTTCTTCCTTTTTAGATGATAATTTCATAGTATGATCTGGATTTGACAGTTCAAATTTGATGAACACACAGAAAGCATGAATACATTGTTATATATTAAGGTATTAGATTTTATTTCAACTTGAAAAAACTGTTGCTTGGAAACCAGGCTATCATAATAAATCACACAGTCATGTTCAGTAAATGGGCAAAGCCACAAACCAAGATAAAGTAGGAACTTTTTGCCATAGAGTAAAACAGGCATTCCAGTATGCCACATATTACAAATAATGTAACCAGCATATGTATTAGACTAATATTAACTTCAACTGGAATTTTTGGAGAAAAATTAAATTATATTGATGATCAATAATAAATAGAAATATAATAATTAATTATAGAGCAATGGCTCTGTAATAAAGATGAAAAGGGGAAATGCTTTCATCTATTTGAAATAGAATGACATTCTCTGAAGTCAAGTATAGGATTAGATATTTTGATTAAGATTCTAACATAAGACTTCTAAATCATCCAAATAAAATTTATTGTTTTGAGGTAAGAAAAAGTCAAGGTATATAAGTAACTGTCATTCTTACATTCTTACCTATACAGGTTACACTAGACTAATTCTGCCCTAACAATAAAATTAAAAGAATGTGTTTCTTGACATGACATGACTCCATAACCCTTTCTGTTAACATATATTCTAAAAGGGAGATTATTGTTGCAGAATTTCTGTTCCTTAGTTCAGCTAAATCTGGGTTCTTGTGTCACAACCAGGAAAAGTTAGGCATGCAGACACATTGAAAGGTGACGGGAACGGAATTTATTGGACGAAAAGGAAAAAACAAAACAACAACAACAGAAAACTCTTAGCAAAATGAGAGGGGTTCCTGCCAGCGCTCCCATCTCACAGATGGAATAACAGGCCACAGCACAGGAACTGAAGAGGCGAGGCTCCTCCCTGCTGCACATGGCTCAAACTTCCCGTGGCTCCAACCCATTCTTGCAGTGTGTAGGGTGGTGGGAGATTCTCTGGGGCCCTCCCCCTTGTTTGCCTTCTGCATCTATCACTAGGTTATAAAATAAAGAAAAGAAACACTGATTAATCTGTATATTTAACTAGGTCTGTGTATTCCTGGTGCCTTAGAAATTATAGCAAATGAAGCATTGTCACATTAAGTAGTGTAAATCTTCAGAAAATGCTTATATTCTCTACCATAAAATTCTAGATGGCATTACCTTGAACATAAAGCAGATTCTTAGACATTATTAATTGAGAGTGTGAAAATATCATGGCCATATATGAAGCAATAAAAGTAGACAAATAGTGGGAAGGACCTCATTGTAGTCCTTGTATTATATACATTCAGCGTCAATACAATGCTATGCTTACCTTATTTCAGTTGCTTAAAAAACAAAACAAAACCTTAGTTATAGAAAATTTCTCTTAGCATAGAAAAGAAAGCAAATATTTTGGAAGGAAATACGATTTTTATTCTTCAAAGAGTATAATTTCTGTGTATTCAGATATATGCTGGAAAGGTATATAACCATATTTGGGAAAAGAAAAAAGGTACCTACTGTATATAGTTCTTCCCTGTAGTAAGGGAGGGAGGAGACAGGTTTAAGAAAAGATAGAATGTGGGTTCCATACATATGCAAAGTTTTATTTATTTTGAAAAGAGCTCTGAGGCAAATATCCAGTTCCACTAATTACCACTTATGTTAACATTGGGAAGTAAACAAAAATAGTAATAACAATTTAAATGCAAACACTTTCAAAATTGAGGTCATGGTGCTACTATTGAAAAAAAACCAACTAAACTAAAAATAGACGTATTTATATAAAGACATTTACACTTATTCTACAGTGGCATATGGTTTGCATAAAACTCTTTCTTGTAAAACAAGGAGAAAATGAGGGCAAATAATCAGTCATGCTTTTATATCCCTAAAAGGGAGGGAACAAGAAAGAGGGGTTCATCGGTGACAACTGCATTTAAACCTAGTGGCATCTGGATATACCTTATGAAGTAATTGCTTAAAAGTCATCCTTATTCCCAAGCAATATTCTTCATGGTGATGAATAATTAAGATCTCCACACAAGCCACAGTTCTCCTTTCTGAGTCTCCTTTCAGACTTGGCCATAGCTTTTCTTTTCTTCTTCTTCTTCTTTTTTTTTTTTTTTTTTTTTTTTTTTTTTTTTTTTGTGAGACGAGTCTCGCTCTGTCGCCCAGGTTGGAGGGCAGTGGCAGGGTCCCCGCTCACTGCAAGCTCCGCCTCCCGGGTTCACGCCATTCTCGTGCCTCAGCCTCCGGAGTAGCTCGGACTACAGGCGACCGCTACCACACCCAGATAATTTTTTGTATTTTTGGTGGAGACGGGGTTTCACCGGGTTAGCCAGGAGGGTCTTCATCTCCTGACCTTGTGATCTGTCCGCCTTGGCCTCCCAAAGTGCTGGGATTACAGGCGTGAGCCACCGCGCCCGGCGGCCATAGCTTTTCAATTAAGATTGCCATGGCAATATGGTTCAGAGAATGCTCAGTTTTGGTCACAGGCTCAGCTCACCATCCTTAAGCCTTAGCAGTGAGCATCGGTTATTAAGGGAAAGGAAAAGGTTTGAACAAGGCTTTCCAGAGTGGTTGAGAAATGTGGAGAGCATTATAGGTTAATTAAATTGCTTTTACAATTGCATAAAAACATGGAATAAGATATTTTTCTCATTTTATTTTCTGCATTATCCTCAGTGCCTGGTACTATTTGGCACATAGTGGTTGTACAGTAAGTATTTACTGAATAAATGAATAAATACATGTGGGATAGTTTCGCTGAATATTTATTCTAGGTTTGATTTTCTTCTCCTTTAATATTGCTCCATTGTCTCTTGTATGCAAGATGCTAGGAAGAAGCATGCGAATCCGATTTTCCATCCTTTGTGCTTGAATACTCATGCTTATTAGATTTTCCAATATTTTCTATTTCTTTGATATTCTTAAAATTTACTATAACAAGCTTGTGTGTAAGTATTCATGTGTGTCATTTGTGTATCTTTTTCTCACCTTTACATATCCCCTTCAGTACTTTAAAAGCCTTTTCAATAAGCAGTGTATTTTTTTTCTTTGTAAAAAACATTTATTCTGAAATAATTACATATTCACAGGAAGTTACATAGAAATGTACAGGAAAGTTCCATGAAACCCTCCCCCACTATGCCCACTTCAAGCCAGAATCCTACACAAACATAAGTACGTTATGAAAACCAAGAAACTGGCATTGGTACAATCCATGAAATTTAATCAGAGTTCATCCATTGTACATGCATGTACTCATTTGTTTGTGTATGTGTGTTTGCATGTGTGTAGCTTTGTGTAACCATAACGCAAACAAGATACTCAACTGTATCATCACCATAAGACTCCCTCATCTTACTCTTTTAATAAATCTACGCTTATCCCTGGAAACCACTAATATCCTCCTCATCTCTATAATTGTATTATTTCACAGTTGTTACATAAATGGAATTATGCAATACTTATTTGTTTGAAATTAACTTTTCTATTTAGTGTAATTTCCTTGAGATTTATCCAACTTGTTGATGTATCAGTAGTTCACTCTTTCCATGGTTGAGTAGTATTCTAATGGTATGGATGTCCTACAGTTTGTTTAATAATTCTTTCTTTAAAATACATTTGGGTGGTTCAAGTTTTTAGCTATTAACAATAAAGGTACTACAAGCATTCATGTACAAGTTCCTCTGTGAAAATAAATACTTGTTTTACTGGGATAAATGCCCAACAATGCAGTTGCTGAGTGGTGTAGTAAGTCCATTTTTAGTTTTAAAGAAACTGCCAAACTATTTTATGAAGTGGTTTTATTCTTTACATTCCCACCAGAAATACATGAGTGAGTCACTTTCTGTATATGCTTATCAGGATTTGTTGTTTTCACTATTTTCATCTCAGCCATCCTGATAGGTGTGTAGTCATATAATATTTAGTCTTAATTTGTATTTCTCTAATGGCCAATGATATTTCAGATGTTTATTTTCCATCTGTATATCTTCTTCAGAGAAATGTCTGTGCATGTCTTTTGCCCACTTTTAAAAAATATGAGGTAATATCCTAGAAAATTGTACCATTGTATTTTCAAGTAGTGACTACTTTAAGTTTATTTTTTTCTTTTCTAAGTATATATGGATATTGACACATTTCTTTCCTACATATTTCTTGACTTCTTTTATAATTTTTAAACCATACTGATACTCTCCTGATGCCTTCTGAGAGCATTGTTTGACATAATCTGGTTCAAAACCTTCTCTTAAGTTAGATCTATTTTGCAATTCAGCCTATCTGTTGGGTTCTTTATTGCAATTAGTATTGCAGTACCCAGTATTTCTCAAAGGTGTTAAAGCTATATTTTTGCCAAGTAACAACTTACAATATCACTTCTGTTTCCTTGAGAATAGTTTTGTTAATTTAAAATTTTTATCTTACATTTGGGTTTAAAAATTAACATTAATTGCATCCTCAGCTGGTCTAGGTTTTTTTTTTTTTCTATCATTATTTATCGTGGTTGAGCTTTTCTGTGAGCCCCATATTCTTGGTGAGTGCATATTCTTTTGGTGAGCATAGAGTCTTTTGCCCATGTCAATTGTCTTGGGCAGTAATATATTTCTGTGAGATAAGCTAAAACTCAAATCGTAACTTCTTTCTAACCACCTGAGTTCGAGAATCAAACAGAAAGTGAATGGTACAAATGATTCATCTCAGAGCATAGCCTTTGGCATTGCAGACTGGACTTGACTCCTCTCCATACATTATTATAGCTCTCAGGGAAATTTCTTGTACTTCTGCTTTGAAAAGGCTCCTTCACATGTAATCATTTTGGGGAAAAAAGGGTGGGGAGGAGAGAAAATACTGAGGTTGCCAGTTTGGTACAAATTTTATCTACTCCTGACCTATTACCTGGAATGATTAATTTTTGTTTTCTCAGAGGAAAAATCTTCAGTAATGACAGACTTATAAAAATGATGTGGTGTGGGACAAAAGAAATAAAATATAATATGCCACCCTATTTCCTGTTTGTGACATAATCCCCTTTCCATTAGGGGCTGCAATTTTCCCCTTAGGTTCAGAAATCTCCCTCTAATTTTATGGTGTCTCCAAGGTTGAGTTTGGGGAGAGGCACAGATTCTGTTAGTTTTTTGTTTGTTTGTTTATTTTTTAATTGAGAACTGCAGTGTGGACAATTAAATAATTTATTTGCTTATCCTAAGCTAATATTTTATACTGTTTCATTATTTTTGTTGATGCCATCTATATGATTGAAAAGATTGACACCCTTTGTTCTTAGTCAGTTGTCTGACCTTAATGAAATATTTCATTTTCCTGCAAACCTCACGTCCTATCTAGTCTTGTAGTCTTGTCCTGGAGTAAATAAATCTCTTTTTTCCCTAACTTCCTTTCTTTGGTTGTTTTCTTTAAAGGAGCCAATACACAATATGTGATTGCCATAATACTTCAAATTATTTGTCAAGTACCAAAGAACATGTTGATGAATGAAGTTGTCAGAGTTTTAATGTTACCTCCCTAGACCTCTTTATTTGAAAAACCTGTACTTGCATACCTCAGTGGCCTCTCAAACTTAATGCTTCTATATTCTAACCTATTCTGTCTCAAACCTTGTCCTCCTTTTGTGATCTCCATTAGACTGAATGGCCATTATCTGTCCCATTGCTCAAGCCAGCAAGAAAATGTACCTTGACACCTTTCTCTATTTTATTCTCTATATCCAATTCATCAATAATTTCTACCAATTTTATTTTTCAATAGTCTTCAAATCCTTCAACCCTTATTCGTATCTACCACCATCACTAACTTCAATTTCTTACCAGAGAAATTACCAGATTATCTTCCAAAATAAACTCTTGACCTCCAAATTGTTTTCCATTTATATTTTATATTTTTAATTGCTAATATTTTCTTATTGATTATACAGACCCTGTATATATTAAGAAAGATTATGTGATATGTTTTGGAAATAGTCCTCCATGCATTTATCTTTTCATTTATTTATTTTTATTTTTCATATTTTTACATTTTTATGCAATATTTCCATTGTGTGGTCTCTGAATTTCAGATCCTCTTAGAAAACATAGTGCACTCAAAGATCTAAAAACATTCTCAAATATTTACTTGTAACACTTTATAGTTTCATTGTTTACTTTTAAATTAGGATCTATCTATCATTTATATTGGTGAATTTTCCAATTTCCAAAAATAGATAAAGATTATTACTATTCCTAAGCAAGGTCATATCTCCATGTTTTTCATATTATATGCTCCCAGATTATTATTATATATTTTGAGTGATAATTAAATTAATTGCTCACTGCATTCTTTCTGCACACGTACCAATTGCAACCAAGTAATTTTAATCATAATGGTAGTAAGAATAGAAGATGTTGTTTCATTAGCTAACACTTATATAATGCTTACTTTCTGTTAAACATTTTTAAGGGCTTTATATATATTAATTCTTCTAATCCTCAGAATAACTCAATGAGGCAAGTATAGGTTACACTTTAACATATAAGGAGAACAAAGACTGTCTAATTTGTTTAATAGGCTCTCAACAGATGGCTTTCAGTGACTGAATCAATCTATGATATTGTGCAACATTTTCCATTAAAATAGAATGTTGTAGTTATTTGCCATTCAAAATATCAAATGACCTTAATGTACATCTTCGTATAAGACATTGAGTGTCTCTCCGACTGTTAATTTCCTAAAGCAATGCATTAAGAAATCTTTGATGATTAAAAAGCATTTTTCTAGAAACTGACAGGAATATACAGTACAAATATGAAGATGATATTAAGTTAAAATAATATTTAAACAGGCATATTTCAGTGGAGAGTGATACTAGATTAGATGCTTAGTAAATGTAAGTATGTTAGTAGAGAACAATAATCTAAATATGGATTTCATATAGGAATAAATATGGATATCACATTAGGGCTTTCTGAAAAACATTTAAAATATGTATTCTAAATTGTCATTGGTTGGTTCAATTATCAATTTACTTTGTGCCATTTGGGAGGCATGTTTAAGAACCCTACTGGATATATCACTATTTCAATAGTTACTACTGAAAAGATGTAGAGGCCTCACACAGCACCTCCACTTACATGTCATTGGCCAGGACTAGGTCATATGACCACACCTAATTTAGAGGAATGCTCAGAAATACAGCACTGCTAAAAATTGTTAATGAGTAAGTGGACTGGGAAAAGATTAGCAAGTAGCATTTCTTGTCATAATGTCCTATATATTCATTAAGAAAAAGTTATTATGTTTCATTGGCCATAAAATCACTAAAAACAATATTTCATTTCAGGTAATTTTAAATTTTGAATTTTCTAAGACTCAGGTAAAATGTATAGAGAGCTTAAAATTATATTAAATTATGTTTGAATATGCTTTAGATAACATCCTCATGCTCATGTCTGTTCTACCTTACACTCCCAATTTTAATGCTCATATTAAAATTGGGATTACAAATATCAAATATATAATATATAATATAAAAAGAGCTTACTCTGCTTGGTCCTTCATTACTTTTATCATGCCAACATAAGTTAGATGATTTTAAATGAATGAATAAATGTATCATTAATGTTGTACAATTTCTATGAGAAGAAACTATTACTGACATTTTAAATCCAAAGCGTAGTAAGTGATGCTAATCTCTATTTATACATTTGTATGAGTATTCACAACAAGAAGCATTGCCTGTTTTTCTTACTTTTGTTCTATGTCTATAATTTTAGGACACTTTGAGAATTAAATTGTTTTATCATTGTCAATAATTGAATTAAAGCTACAGTACATCAGTATGTTTAAATATATGTATCAATATGCTCTACTGTGTAAAGTCTATGAAAATATTTTAACCAAAATGACTGCCCAAATGGATATTTAAGTGATATCAAGCTAAAATAGCCTAACAAAACTTAGAAAATATCCATGATGACACTATACATTTTAACCCAGTTAAAGTGAATCAAAGTGGTATAATACCTATTACTATAAATAATTTTACAAAAGAGCAATTACTCAAATAGTTTAAGCAGGGGAGTAAGATTGAACTTTAGTTGCAATACGTACTATGGACAGTAATCGGTACTCACCAGAAGCCAAGAACTTCACTTGAAAGACTGTTAAAGGAAGTTATCAACGACACACAGAAGGGACAAGCGGCACTGCAGAATCAAAATATAAGACTATTAGTAATAAATCCAGAACATAGCAGTACTAAAATATCCTGTAAGTTTATTGAAATATACCTATTCTTTTTTTTTTTTTTTGAGATGGGGTCTCGCTCTGTCGGCCAGGCTGGAGTGCAGTGGCGCAATCTCGGCTCACTGCAACCTCCGCCTCCCGGGTTCAAGCTAATTCTCCTGCATCAGCCTCCCGAGTAGCTGGGATTGCAGGCACCCGCCACCATGCCAGGCTAATTTTTGTATTTTAATAGAGACGGGGTTTCACCATATTGGCCTGGGTGATCTTGAACTCCTGACCTCAGGTGATGCACCCGCCTCGGCCTCCCAAAGTGCTGGGATTACAGGCATGAGCCACCTTGCCTGGCCAACCTAGTTATTCTTAAAAATAATTGAAGGAAGTGATTATGATTCCCCTTATAGAAAATAGATACTGTGTTAGTCCATTCACATGCTTCTATGAGGAAATACCTGAGACTGGGTAATTTATAAAGGAGAAAAGTGCCTTGCCAAGGGGTAAAAGCCTTTTATAAAACCATCAGATCTTGTCAGAACTCACTCACTATCAGGAGAACAGCAGTATGGGGGTAACTGCCCCCCGATTCAATTACCTCCCACTGGGTTCCTCCCACACCACGTGAAGATTATGAGAACTACAATTCAAGATGAAATTTGGGTGGGGACACAACCAAACCATATCTGATACCAAGATGAATAAAAACTTAAAAAATTAATCCCTAATTATTAATTTATTCCTACCTCCTAGAAATTTTTTTAGTAGTCCTTAGAAAACATACCTGATGAAGAAAGATGCTGACTGAGCTGCTTAATTCCAATTTATCAGGGTTGAAATCTATAACAAATGAATTTTTAGGTTGAGGTGTCCTTTCACCTGCTGATCCAAGCATGACAAGAAAATAATTAGAATGTGTTTTTTTCCAAACTTGATAGGAAGCAAGTTTTTCTTTCATAATAATTTATCGGAACCTGCTAAAGAATGATTATTTTTACTGTTACACATGGTCTCTTGGGTGGTTTTCAATGTTGTTTTGCTTTAACAGATGGAAGTAATAAATACATGGTAGGGGGATATGTCAGTAATACATATAAATTCTTTCCTGAGGCAGTATGAAATACCCTGTCATTTGATGATTTATGTAACAGTTCGGAGTACAAACTCAGCACAACCAAAGCACACATTCACTGGAGTCTCTAAATAAAATGGAAAGCGGAATCCGAATTCACTTTAACTGTCATGTCTCACAAAATCAAAAGCTTTTTGTATGACTAACCTTTGTCCTAAAGATAAAAGCTAGATTTATTATCTTCCTCTGTCGCCCCTTGCTATGTAATTGAGTTCAACATAATTAGGCATTTCCAATGGTGAAAAAAAAATTTATAAATTTCTAAGGGAATGTAAATACAGCGCATATTTGTCAGGAAAACCTGTGAAAGCAACACATTTGATATAAGAAGAAGAAATGGAGAATAGTGATTAAGAGAGTAGCCTTGAAATTGGATAATATTGGGTAATAATTCTATATTATCTTCTGCTTCTTAGCAACTGTATGACCTGGGAAAGTTTATTGGTTTAATCCACTTCTTCAACTGAGGAAATAAAGATAATAATACTAACCTCAATAGATTTTTATAAGATTTAAATTAAAATAATGTGTAAAATATTTAGCAAAATATCTGGCAATAGTGAGTCCTCAAAAATATTATAGTTACTACTTTTTTGTTTTTCTTAGTAAACAAAAATACTTTAGTTGAGTAGTCTCAACTGTCACCCCAAACTGCAATTCTGAAAATTGTGGAAAATGAATCAAATGTGCCATTAAAGGGGCCAGCCTTTCTGATGTCTGGTGGTGGAATTAAGGGACATATATATATAGAAGTCTAAAAAAATGTATAAAATATCCATGGTGACATTATAAATTTCATATTTAGGCACCCTACTGACGGAAATCACAGTGAATTTAAGGGAGACTGACAGTACAATTTGTACTAAAAACACAGAAGATAATGTTTAAAATAGCTCAATCTCTTTGATTACATTTTTTAATTCCTATGTAAAGAATAATGTAGTTGTCAAAGTTGTTTTTAGAAATTTGTAGTATTAAAATGTGAATGTACTGTCAATAATTTTTAAATTTCTATTTTTTAACTGTACATTTTTAAGGTATACAACATGATGTTTTGACATAAATATACATAATAAAATGATTACTACAGTCTTGCAAATCAACATATTCATTATCTTACATAGTTCTCTTTTGTTTGTCCATATGTGGGTGTATGTGGTACGAGTACCTAAAATTGACTCTCTTAGCAAATTTATACTATGTAATACTATTAACTGTGGTCCTTATGTTCTGTGATAAATCTCTATCCTTATTTATCCTACATAACTGAACGTTGTACCCTTTGGCCTTCATCTCTCAATTTTCCTCACACTTACACCCCTGGTAGCCACTTTTCCATGTTCTATTTTTGTGTATGTGAGTTTTTGTTTTGTTTTGTTTTGTTTTAGATTCCACATATAAGTGATATTGTGCACTCTATTTCTTTCTGGGTCTGCTTTATTTTACTTAGCTTAATTCTTCTAGGTCCGTCCTGCTGTTGCAAATAGCGGTACCTTGTTTTTTTTTAAGCTGAGTAATATTCAATTGTGTAATCTGCAATTTCTTTATCCATTCATTCATTCATGGACATTGATGTTGTTTCCATATCTTGGCTATTGTGCATAATGCTGCAATAAACCTGGGTGTGCAGTTGTCTTTGTAAGTTGGTGATTCCTTCTGGGTAGGTATCTAGAAAAGAGATTTCTGGGTCATATGGTAGTTCGATTTTTAACTTTTTAAGGACGCTTCATACTGTTTTTCACAATGGCTGAACCAGTCTACGTACCCATTAATAGTGTAGAAGTTTCCTTTATCTCCAAACCCTTGCCAATACTTCTTATCTCATCTTTGTTATAATAGTTATGCCAACAGATGTAAGATGATATTTCATTTTGGTTTTGATTTCCATTTTTATGATGATTAGTAATATTGAGCACCTTTTCATCTACCTGTTGACCATTTTACTTCTTTAAAGAAATATCTTTTGTCTTTTGCTTATTTTTGCAGGGTCAGATTATTTGTTTTTTTGCTGTCGATCTGCATGAGTTAATTACATAGTTTGGACATTAAACCTTTATCTGATAATGCGGTTCACACATGATTTTTACAGTTCATTGCTAGCTTTGCATTTTGTTAATTGTTCCCTTTGTTGTACTGAAGCTTTTTAGTTTGATGTAGTCCCAATTGTTTATTTTTTATTTTGCTGCTTATGCCTTTGGTTGAATATCCAAAAAATTCTTGTCAGAGCCAATATCAAGGAGCTTCCACCCCTTTTTCTTCTAGGATCATATAGCTTCAGGTCTTATGCAAAGATCTTTAATCCATTTTGAGTTAATCCGTGTATGCTGTAAGATAAGAGCCAGTTTCATTCTTTTGCATTGGATATTCATTTTCCCACACTATTTACTGAAGAGGCTATTCTCTCTTCATTGGGTCTTCCTGGTGGACTTGTCAAAAATTTGTTGACTGTATATGCTTGAGTTTATTTCTAGGCTCTCTGTTCCATTTGTCTGTATGTCTGTTTTTATGCTAGTCCAATATTGTTTTGATTACTATTGCTTTGTGAATACATTTTTATATTATTTTCTTTAAATAAGCTTATTTTAAAAACATTTTTAATAAAGTCACTTGTATCTTAAGGATTGATGTTTTCTATATTTTCTATGGCTCATTTCCCCACAGATGAGGGTATGTTAATCTGACTGTGACCAAAGTGGCTATTATGAGCCAGAATGTCTCATATTAACTTCTACTACATAACACATTTACTTCTGTAAGTTTAGATAGGAAACTTGCAAAAGTTCAAATATCATTTCATTTTTAAGTCTTAAAATATTTGTTATGATATTTATTATAAGTGTTATAAAGCAAGTCCCATCATTTTAAAAAATCCAATAATAAGGAAATGCTTTGGTGATTAAACTGTAGTTACTAGAATCCTATATATGTGCTAGATTTTAAATAATAATAACCTATTCTTTTAGAAACTAAAATAAAAAATTATTTAATTTATCTAAATTTCACCTTCTTATGTCCTATTCATTAAATGTCAAATCTTTTAAACTCTACCAAATCATGAATATAAACAGTATTAGTCAATATAATTTACTTAATCATGATTATAATTCATTATTAAACGTACTGCTAACTATATAACACAGGAAATAAATTATATTAATATAACATGATAAATATGCTCTGCAAGTTAAAAACATTAATCATTCCCTAAGGTAAGTGTTAGCAATTACCTTTCAAATATTACAAAGGGGCAAGAATAAGAAAGGCTAACAAGATTCATTTGAACATTATTTATTCTGTATGTTTTCTGATACCTTATTTACTCTTTTCTCTTCATTTTCATTTTATTTTTTCTAGAATTATATTTAGAAACAATAATTCTACACATTTTAATAGAAAGGGTTAAAATATAAAAATATAGAAACAATTTAAAGTTAATTATCTCATTGATTTGCTTGGGATTAAATTAACTAAAAGAACATAGCAATCACTCAATAAGTATTGGCTATGTTTTAAATATTCTCACATATCTCTTTAATATACTTTAAACTGACACATTAGGAACATAAAGTCACATAAAATATGTACTAAATATTAAAGACTATGTAAAATGCCAATCTTTGTTTTCATCTTCACTTCAATTTTAGCTACTGTGAAAGCATAATAAAGAACTTACTTTTTTCAAAAGTTCTGTTTTATTGTATGTGTCATAGTTTTTTTGGAACTACATATTTAACTTTGTCATAACACCCTTCATATATGTAGGAAGTTTTAGGTTTGATGTTTTTTCAACGTCAATTTCTACTTTTTCTATTACTTCTATTTATGTGATCACTGAGCAAGAATATTTCCCTTGGTTGTCACTAAAGACCTTGTTCTCTGTGCTTAATGCTTAGTTTTCTTTAAAAAAATCCTTGAAGTATATTTGCAAGGCCTTTCATTTATTTACTGGTGAGCTTTACCAGAGACTCTGCTTGCATAGCCAGTTCAAATCTCTTCAGACAGCAGTGACTCACTAAGATAGGTGAAGGAAGAAAACTTGCTAAACTGCATGGAAGACTGAGAGACCCACTGATGCTGTGGACACATTCAATGCTGTCTTTGCCTGAGAGCTGCTGTGTTTGTTTTGTTTTATAATCAGTAACTGATGCTAAAAGAAATATAAATAATACTATAGGGAATTATTTTCAAGATACTCAAAGTTAAATGCAAGTTCAAAGTAGTTTGCTATATAAGTTAAAAACTTTTTGAAAAGGTCAGTTGAGAACTTGACAAATTAACAAATGCATTTTTCTATTCTTGTAATTTTCTTTATTTCTCTCTTTACTTAAAATTACAACAGAGAAGGCTAAGGTTTATGGCACAAGAATGGGAAGACTAACCCACACCTGCACAAAACAAGAAAGGTGACAAATGAACTTTTAATAGATTGTATAAAGTCCAAGCAAAAACAGTAGCCTTGAAAACCTAGTATTTAAATCTAATAGAGGTCATGGTGGCAGAAGTGAGCAGAAGGTGGCTAAGGGAGAAAAAGCGTTGAGTTCTGAAATGCTTTATGTCAGGAATAAAAATATCAGGAGCAATTCCCAATGAAAATACAGAGTTCCAGGCATGGGAAAGAGGATTATTTTAGTGTAAGTGAGAGAAGAGCAATAGAGTGGGTCCCATATTCCCTGATAAAGAAGGGCAATAGAGTGGGTGCCTATATTCCCTGAAAAAAGGCATCTACAACCCACCACAGTAGGAAAGAAC